CATAACTCTTAATTCACACATATTTTGGACTTGTTTTCTTCTACAAACGTGTAGTTCATAATGAACACTTCAATTTGATTCAAAGTTTTCCTCATTTGCATCAAGCATGAGGAAGTTATGAATCTTGCAAGATAGGTAGAATTTATGATTTTCCATACTTAGTGAAATTTCACTAAAACCCTAATTTTATCAACTTTCCTGATTTTATGATTCTTCTTAATCAAAATTCATTATAACACTTTTGATGACTTTAAATGTTCGATTGACCCAAAAACTCAAGAGTTTGACTTTGGGAGGCCACGGTTGACTTTCTTGATCAGATAAAACCCTAGCCCTCTTTCCATTTACTGAGGCGCATGTAATGACTTGTGATGACACATGATACATGTAGGGAACATTTGAGATGAATATTGATCTATGAAACCTTACCTTGCTCAAGAAAATAGTTGTAGGCGCCCTTTAACCAAAACCCTAATTCATGAATACAAGGTAGGAAAATGTGATCAATGCTTGAGAACCCTAATCCAGATGATTGTGTGAGGTGGTTGAGAATGCTTTGATGCATAAAAAGACTTTGAAGTTTGTTAGTTCCATGATTTTATGATTGTCCATGGTTCTATGATTGGCTAAAATTTTGGTAAAACATGACCCTGCACTGATGTCAAGACAGATGTCATGACATCGCTGCCTGGTACAGTAGGAGCTGCTATTTTATATCTCTTGACATATGTGGTTTGGTTTGATGAGGTCCTGTTGGATATACCTCATCAATGTGTGTATGTCAAGGAGATTTATTAGGAACAAAGTGCAGATTTTATTGGTGTTCATAAAAGAATCTTTGAGACCTTTCAGGAAACTATAATATATTTGTTTTTACTGTTATGAAGAAGATTCTGCAGAGCAAGTTTGGTGTACTGCAGGGCAAGTTTGGTTAGCTAAATGCAGAGTGTATTGGATGTCATGCTGGATGTTATGACATCAGGTTGCTGCCAGCAAGGGTGCATGTTTTGCTATTTGTTTTTCTGTTAAGTTTCCTTAGTTATCTCGGGCTAGAATTCAGGAAACATTCTAGGCAGTGTTGATATGAACAGGAAACGCCTTGGCCTACTTCTAAGCACCTTGAATTATGGAAAGTGGTTTAACTTGGTTAAACCTAATTTATGTTCTTTTGACCAGCCCAAGCCCAGTCTGCATTACTATTTAAGAAGGTGCAGAAGCAAAGGAAATCAAGCACTCACATCAAGAACAACTTAAGTGTAAAATAAGGGTTTAGGGTTTTGAGAGTCTTTTGTGTGTGACTTTGTAAGTCACCCTTTGTATCCTTGGATGCATCGTGGTAGACATGTGTAGGCTGTTAATTGTTAATTGTAAATTGTTCACTCAAAGCTTTTAAGTAAGAGTCTATTGTCCTTGGTTGAAGCTGTTAAGAAAAATCAAGTATTGTGACTTTGAAGAGTGTCTTCTAAAGTCTTTCCTTTTGTATTGAATTGTTTATCACTGTTGTGATTGAGGGGGAGTGAGAGGTGTCTCTTGTCTAGTGGGTTCTAGGCAGAAATTGCATTGGGTAGAGATTAAGTGAGGAGTTGTAAACTGGGATTTTAGCTCTAAATTAACTATGCTAATAGTGGATTTCCTTCCTGGCTTGGTAGCCCCCAGATGTAGGTGATGTTGCACCGAGCTGGGTTAACAATTCATTGCGTTATTTATCTTTCAGCATTTACAATTCTGCACAATTTAAAATGTTAGATAAGTAGCTTTTTCAGTCTGCAGATGTTAAAACAAATGGCATAACATTGGTCATGACATTGTTAATATTTAAAGGGCTTTAAAATGGTCATGTTCTGTCCTTGTTATGTTTTGGCAGAGATCAATGTTCTTAAGCATCTCTTAGGACATCTGAGATCTGCATACCAGAATTTCAAAGTTCAATAATGAGATGATATTAAGATCATCTTCTTAATCCTTCCTTTGAGAGACCTCTTCTCCTCTTAAGGACCACCAAAGATACCTTGATCTCATGTCTAGAGCCAATGCTCTACATAAATAAAGATGTAAATGAAATGAAGCATAAGCCAAATAGATTAAAGAATGGAAAATTTTGGGGTGTTACAACCACCTCTTGGGTTGCCTTGGTTCCAGGTTTTTCTTTGATTCAACCAGTTACCTTCTTGCTGATTTCGACCAGTCGAATTGGTGTAGCCTACTCTGCCTTTGTTGTCATTCCAACTTCCTTTTCCTTTCTTTTCTTTTTTGACTGCGTCTACAAAGCCATATCACTCTTTGACTTTCTTGCATCACTTTAAGCCATCCTTTGTTCATTAGACTCAAGCGTCCCTTGAAGTTATTCTTTCGTCAATACTGACAAGTCTTTCGACTCTTCTATGGCTACTACCACGTGGTCGATCTTTGGAGCCAATGACCTCAAGATCTTTGCAACAAGTGATCTTGATGTCAACACTTCTCTACATACCTTGATTTTGTTCACCAGTTTAGTAACCCTAGTGAAGAAATCAGTTATGCCTTAACTTTCTTCCATCCGATGCAATTCATAGGTTCTCTTATGAGTTTGTAGTCTCACCTCTTTCACCTTCTCTGCACTTCCAAACGACTTCTCCAGAATTTCTCACGTTCTTACGCTGATTCTACATCACCAACCTTTTCAAAACTATCTGGATCAGTACATTGATGGATTATAAAGAAAGATTTATAATCTTTCTTCTTCAATTCTTTGTGTGCAGCCTTTTCTTGATCCGTCGCGTTTTCTGCAAGTGGTGTTACTCCTTCTTTCACAAGATCTCAAAGATCTTGATAACAGAAAACCACCTTAATATTCTTGCACCAACTCTCATAATTACCTTTCTTAAAAATTGGAAGATTCGCCAGAAAATACCCGTTTGGATTATTCATCGCCATCATGGTTTTGCTTCCTTGAACTGCAACCGAAACTTTAGATACCAGATGTTGGAATTCAACCACAACCTATGGAGAATTTCACTCAATCTTGATCTCAACATTATTATCAATCACGCAATGATAATGTAAAAGGTTGAGAAAGAAAGAAAATAACGTTGGAGAAGAAGATGAATATTCTGCAAAGTTTCTCTCTACACACCAACTGTGAAAAATTTCTTATTCACTTGCAAATGAAATTTTTGTGAATACAATGGTATGAGTTGAGTTGTTTACAAAATAAGGGTTACTTCCTATTTATAGATTTAGGTTAGCTTGCACCTCAAGGCAAATGGCAAAACTATAAAAGCCCAAAATAGTTAACATCAATAAAATAGGCCTAAGTCGAAATCCTGTGTCAAACAACCTGCTTCGACACTTCGACACACTAATACAACTCGACATACACACACACATTAGGCTAATTCGACTACACCTTGTTTCTGTCGAGCTACACTACTTTGACACAAGAAATTACAGACTCAACAATTTTTATAAAGTGTATAGATCATCGGTGACATTTTCAAAGTATGTAGTTAATAATGACATAACAAACCATAACTATCATTATATTGCATATTAAACATAATTAAAGGACCAAAATACATTGACCAACAATTATACAAAATGTTACCTAAAGACATGAGCAATATAACATAGCATTAACTTTCTTAAAAACTAGATTAAAACCTGTAAATTAGTTTGTTCGTTTTTTTATTAAATTTTTTAAATATATTAAAGAATTATTTTGAAAAAACATGATTACTAAATTTATATTACAATAATTTATTATTAACTATAATTAAGACAATTATATGAATTAATAACATATAAAAAGATACATTTTATTTTAAAAAAATACATAATTGTAAATTAAAAATGACATTCGTGATTAATTTTGAAAATTTAAATAACTATAAAATAATTTTTGTTTAATTTGATTCTCATGTCCTTAGTAGTTATCTTTGATTTGTATATTTAATTTTGAGCTGTTAAAAGTGTATATTCTCAGTTAGCTTTATTAGCTTTATAAAATTGATATCTATTTTTGTCAAATTTTAGTTATGTAATGAATAAAAGGTTGAAAATGCTAGTTTGTATAATAACTTAATTGTTCTTTAAATAATTATTTTAATTTTATTAATTTGGTGGTTAAAATTTATCTTATTTATCTTTGATATCAATTGAAATATGAGTATTTTTTTTAAACATTATTTTTATTACTTTTATTATACTTTCTATGGTCACATGTCTATTTTGAATTTGAAATTTATTGGAAGAAAGATACTTAGAATAATTATTATTTTGTAAGATCGTTTTTGTTAAAAATGAGATTTTTTTTGTCTTTTTCAAGGTTCAAAGTGTGGCCCTTAATAGAGAATAGATATTATATTTTTCTATTTGAAAAGTGAAAATAAAATTTTGGAGATGTCATATAGAATTATGGGATGAAGTGGCACAAATAAAAAAGAATTATTAGCATGTGTTTTAATATAATGTGACGCTTTATATTTAATATATTATATAGATTAAATTTATAATAGTTTAATTGTTTTTAAAATAATAATTTTAATTTTATTAATGTGGTTATAAAAATTTAACTTTTTTTTTTATATATTAATTGAAATATTAGTGTTCGTTTTTTAAACATTATCCTCAATATTTTTATTATATTCTCTACTGTCACATATCTAATTTAAATTTAAAATAGTGATTATCTTGTTAGATCATTTTTGTTAAAAATATAAAAAAAATATAAAAAATTGTCTTTTTTCAAAGTTCGAACCAGTGATTTTAATAGAAAATAAATATTAATTTTTTTTATTTAAAAATAAAAATAAAATTATAAAGATGCCACATAGAAGCATAGAATTACGTGCCACAATATAACTTACTAATTAATTAAAGTTAAACAAACTTTGAAACATCATCTAAACTGCGATATATGTAGTTAAAAGATAACCACAACAATTTATTTTGATAAAAATAAGCACAACCAAAAACAAACTAGAAAGAAAGAACAGACTGAAAAAATACACAAGATATAGTAGTTAAGAGCGCATGTAGAGCACAGCAGGAGGTGATAAAGTTGGTGATGCAGTAATGGCATGCATCTCATTTTCCATAGCCTCCAAAATATGACAAGGAAGACAAAGTTCAAGATCAATACTACCTTCTTCTTCCCCACCCAACACAATAACTTCACCAGTATTGTCTTCAAGTCCATTCCCGTTCCTAACTGCTACAGGCTTACCCCAACCAAAGTCATTGCCGTAAAAATTCAACCGCGGGGAATTGACTACCACCAACACGCGACTTGTTGATGTTTCCGACGGCTCTAATATAAACGGGGTTTTCAACCAAGACTCGTAATTACTCAATACCTTCTCATGATGAGATTCCGTAGAAAGCACCTTGTTCATTTCCACAGCAACTCTACCAATTCCACCTTCCATTAATTTCCCTACTTTCATTCTAACAACTCCAACAGCTCCTATTGCATTTCCAAAATAAGTATCTGCTAACTTCGGAAACACTCTTGTCCTACAGTCTATGGGGAACACACAAATAACATCTTCTTCTGGTTCAAAATGATGTTTACTTATAATTAAAATCCAAATGTGAGATATAAGTGCTTGCAATGAAGATATAACAATATTATTATTACTATTACCAATCTCTGCATTTGCTTTTGATTTGAGTTGAAGAATTTGTTCCTTTGTGAAGTGAAAGATTTGATGAGGTGAATCTTCACATTGTTGATTTTTCACTTGCTTTGTGAAAGGAAACCATATGGGAGGGTCAATGTTGTTCGGAAACCAACGGTGGAAAGACAGGATTTCTGTTGGTTTATTGAAACCATTGGAGATTTCAGCCCAGGAGTTGACAAAAAACCAAAACGACTTGGCGTCTACAGCCAAATGGTTAATGTCAATACCAATGAAGATCCCGTCGACTAATTCTGTTACTTGAACTGCAAGCAATGGCTGTGATGTGCCTTGGTAGTTTTTAACTCCATTGAGTGGGAATAATGATTGAACAATGGGAGGAACATATTTGGGTTGAATGATATCGGCAATGGTAGTGTTTTCTGCTGTGACATGGACGAACAACGCGCCAACGTTGTTGCAAATGATGGAACATGAAGCTTTGTTAGGGTCGTGTTCGTCTTGTGTTATTACAAGACGACCAGCTAGGGGTGGGAACAAGTTGAGAGTGGAGGAAAGTGTTTGTTTAAGATGTTGGATTTGGTCTGTTTTTGGTTTATGGAAAAGAAGGCCTAGTTGGATTTGATGAATTTTGAGATATTTGAGATCCCATGGAGTTAAATCGATCATTTTGGGGATTGACTTGTCTTCGTCATTTGTTGCTTTGATTGTAGTTTTGGAGATGACTCGAATGTTTGCCATAGTTAATGAATCAAGCACCTTAGATAATCAGATGACAGATTATTGTTGAGGGGACAACTATATAATTTTGGGTTGTAGTTTAATATTCTTAGTAACCCCTTTTATATATATATATATATCTTAGGATGAAGAGAAAAAATAAATACAAGTACAACAACCAAAAACTCACACAACCATTCTAACAGAAAGTCCTCCACGTGCACAACATTCCCCAACCACCATCTACAAATGAGGACATATGGGACCCAATCCTAACAATTGATGTATGTTCACATAGTCAAGGACACTATATCAAGATTGTGTTTGATCTATTTAATCCATACAATTTCTTTCTTTTCTAATATTAGACAAGATTTATTTTCTAATGAGATGCTTTTTTTAAAAACTCTCTTTCTTTTATTATTTTTCATTTTCAACAATAAATTTCAATTTGAATTACAATTTACAAATTTGATAAATAATTATTTTGGGTTAATTATAGTATTGGTCCCTCAATTTTACTTCATTTATAAAATTGGTTCTCCCTATTTAAAATTTAAATAGTTTTAGTCTCTTTTCATACTTTGTACTTAAACGTTTTATTTTTTAAAGGACAAATTTATCGAATAACATGACAAATTATCATATATATATATATATATATATATATATATATATATATATATATATATATATATATTGTGGAACTTTATAAATAAAAAACTGAATATCTCATCCAATTTTTATGGAAAAACGTGTGAAAGAGATTAAAAGATGCACCCTATTTTTTTTAATAAAAAATATATAATATATTTCGTCGGTTATTTGGAAAACTGATGGGTAAACAAATTCAATGTACATGTTTCGAATCCAGCAGCCTTAATTTATGTTTTTATCTCATTAAAAGTGGAGCATTCTTGAATATGTTATGAGTTTAGGGCTCTCTTTTCTTCTTCAAATATCCAAATCATTTTCTTTTACTTCTTCAGAAATTTGGTACGTCAAACATCACTACTAATATATTTTTCATATTGTTGTTGTTGTTATTGATGTTGTTGTTGAGATCCAAAATCCTAGAGTTTTTTTTTATGATGTTGTTTTTGTTGATGTTCTTGTTCTTGTTGTTGATAACCTAAAACCTAGAGGTTTTTTTTATTCACGTTGTCGTTATTGATATTGTTGTTGTTGTTCTTGATTTTGTGTTTGATGTTGTTGTTATTTTCTTGTTTTGTCTAGTTGAGTTTACTATATCTAATGTCGACTGTTTGTTTCACCAACCCCTCTTTGAACATATAACCTAGTAAATTGAATTTGGAAATAATCATATGCAAACTTATGTTGCATCTGAAACTTATCTTACTCTGATTAATGATTCTCTAGAATTCTACAACTCATCGTTCATCTCAAGCTGTTTTATGGTTAAAATCTCAAATACTTCTAGTTTTTGTTCAACTTTCTTCCATATTTGTTCATTTACCAAAGCATGAAACTTTATGCTTTCAAGAATCAATTATTATAAAAGGAAGTGTTGAATAAAAAACTTGAAACATTTGAGAGATTATAACCATAAAACAATGTGAGAAGAATGATGAGTTACAGGATGCGTCAAAATCATAATTATTGTAAATGTACTTTAAACCCTTTGTTGATGAAGAGAAAGAAAATATATTTTGGAGATTGCATTTACCACGAAAATTAGAAGTTTTAGAAAGTCGGACAAAAAGTCAAGAAAAAAATTGGTCGGTGAATAGTATCGTCCGTACGGATGAATAGTGACGTTCGTACGGTGAATAGTGTTATTCGTACGGTGAATAATATTTTCGAGTTTTCAGACTTTTTTTATTTAGTCTATGGATCCATGCGATTTTGGGCTTTACTTGTTGGGTATTTGCTATTATAAATATGTATCTCTTATATGTTTAGTGTGTGACAATTTTAGAGTTTTCACCAATAAGGGAGACCAAGGGTTTAAAGGTAAAGCATATGGTTTCATCTATGCACAAAGAAAACCTTAGATTACACCTTGAGTTTGAGTGATTCATATATTAAGAGTTGGAGAGGTAGGGAAACACTTAGGTAAAAAATACGGTTGTTCTTGGACGCCTTCAGGGTTGTTCTTGAGAACCCGAAGGCGAAGTCTATTTTCTTGTAACTCATCTGTAATCTCTTGTAACAACTTTCTGAGTATAGTGAATTGGAGAGTTTCCCTCTCACCCAGAGTAGATTGTTTAATCAAACTGGGTAAACAAACCTTCGGTTTTTCTTCCCTTATTCTGTTATATTATCTGTGTACAGATTATTATTGTTGAATACCATTTATTTTGTTTTCTATTGTTCTTTGCCTCACAAATTGATATTGAATTTTGTCGTAATTCACAACAAGATTCACAACAAGTGAGCACCATGGTTAGTAGATGGTAGATTGATAAATTTTTCGGTAACAACAATTTTTGGTTGTGGAAAATTAAGATGCAAACAATTTTAATTCAAGAGAAGTGTATTGATGCTTTGAAGAGTGAAGCATTGATGCATGCAAGGCTTACACTATAGGTCGCTACTGCGAAAATCGGCGTCGGCTGAACAGAAGAGTCGCCACCGTGCGTTATTTATCCCAACGGAGGGAAAGGAAACGCTCAGAGTAAACCTACCGCAAAGACGAGAAAGGAATAGTCATCGCAACCAAATCCTGGATTCGGGAGTCGGTTACGCAAGGGGAAGGTATTAGCACCCCTCACGTCCGTCGTACTCGACGGGATCCACGCTTGTTTTCTGGTACGGATTGTTATTCTATCTATTCTACAGGTCAAGGGTTAAAAGAAAATAAAATGACTCGGCAAAGTATCGCACTTTATGCCTACGTATTCCCGTCTGGAACGAGAAATCAGAGTCAACGTAGTTCGCCTAACTACGGGTTATGGGGGAAGGTTGCTCGCTAGGATATCGCATCCTATGCCTACGTACTTTCATACAGCATGAAAGATCAGAGCAAACGTAGTTCGGGCCACGTACGACACAAGTCTGTCTTGATTGTTTTTATTCCTTCTAAAAAAGGTTTTCTCCTGATTATGGGTCCAAGCGGACAAAAATGACGTTTTTGATTGGTTTACAGTCTTTTACGCAAGAACTGTTTTTTATGGTGTTTGAAATGTTTATTGTGTTTTTCTGATTGTTTTGAGAAAGAAGAGAAACAACAACTCTAACCTATGGTTAAAAAAAGGGAATCAAAATCTAACCTAATGTTGTCATGCATGGATAAGAACCTAATGTCTGTCATATTTCTCTCTTGCGCAGAGAGAAACAGAGATCCTAAGGGGATAAACGGAAAAACAACAGCATATATACAGTAAAGCAGTAAAATGCATGAATGCAGCAGTACAAGCTAGGCAAGGGAGTCCTGCTCTTCCCCGAACTTTGAAAACAACAGGCAAAAGCGAACAAAATTCACTTTCAACCTAACAGATTAATTGGCAAACAATACAGTCCCGGAAACTCAAACAATACATCAAAAGCTTCTAAACAGCAAAAAATAAACCGTAAATAGCAACTCTACACAGCAAGCTCCATCAACATCTTCAAGCAAAGTCTTCATCAACAAGCTTCCATCAAGCATCTATCTTCAAGGAGGAAAACTCTAACAGTAATCATCTTCCACAGCTTCAAGCAGCAGGGCTTCAAACAGCAGCAGTCACATGCACAACTTCAACAGCACAATCTTCAAACAATGACTTCCATCTTTAATCTTTCATGGCTTTTCTTCAAATCAAACTCTCCAGGATGAGGAACAATTAATAGGATGAATTGAGATGTTAAACAGTTAGTTGACCACCAAAGGTGGCAAACAGACTGTTAACAAAATGTAGAATGTTTCTCTCAAGAGTTCTATCTCTTAGATACTGTCACCAAGCCTTCCAAAGGAAGGGGGTGAGTATCCTAGAGAGACTCTGAATCATAGAGAGGGATGGAGGCAAACAAAGTCATCCATGTTTAAGAATCAAATTTCTACTCTAAGCTCTACCTAGCTCCTAGTTCCTGTGATCTTCAACAGCTACAAGCAAGCTACAATTTTCATCAACTCTTGAACTTGTTCTTCAATCCTTGACTTTGTCTTTGTCTTCAATGCTTCACCATTCATGGTCTTCAAGCCAAGCCCAAACCCCAAGCAAGCCCAACAAGCCCAAATAACAAGCAATAACCCCAAAACGGGCACACCATACAATCAAACAATTACAAAAATATACTAAATATTAATATAATAGGGGAAATTCTAATATTTATTCTAAGGGATCTACTACACTTTCCCATAATACCCCTATAGTCCCATCTTCTAATTCAACCTAAAAAGCCCAAAAAGAAATTGTTTTGTTGCACCTATGTTATGTTCAAAACCCTAATTATTCTAAGTTTTTTATTACACCATATCTATTTCGACATTTTTTTACTACCATTTTTATTCTAAATTTTTATCACATTATCCTAAGGGAAACCCTAAAGTATATTAATATCTATATTATCAAGATCGAAGATCAAACCCAATATCAATTCCTAAGGGGTCTAAACAATTCCTAACATGCAAGGGGTCAAGGTTAACCATCAATTGGGAAGGTCCTAATCAACAACCCTAAAACAGAACCAAATTACATCTAGAAAATCTACAAAAATTCCTAAGGGAACATGCGAGTGTTATCTACAATCTACCAAAAGATCTAAGCAAGAATCATCACCAATTGAGAGAACAAAATTCTACAAAACAGCGGTATCAAATATGCAAAACAAACATCATGCAAAATACTCATCAGAATGTAAAATGCAAAAGAAATGGGAAAACAATCCACAAAAATATAAGAAAAATTATACAATATCCTGAAGATGTTAGCAACCTATGGTAAAGAAATTAAAACTAAACTCTAAAGTTAAGGTCACTTTCTAAAGGAAAACCTATAAAGTGTCCAGGGAACATTCAGATGGCGATGGCTCTAAAAAGCGGATTCAAAACTAAACTTAGAATCGTCTAGAAATTCCAA